CCCCCCCCAGGCCCCTCTCAGCCGGGCACCCCTCCAGCCACTCCTCCCCAGTCCTGTAGTGCTGCCGGGGGTTGTGGTGGCTGAAGTGCAGGACCAGCATTTGGCCTTATTGAAACTCATGTAATTTTGTTGAGTTTATTTTGATTTTTCTGGTAGTAAGAACTGGGGATGCTCCACAGCTAAAATGGCTAGACTAACAGACATTTGTAATCAATAACTTTTTTATAAATTACTAAAAATCTTCAGACAGCATGTACTTACATTTACTTGTGGTCCAGAAAAAGCTCTGCATTAGGCTGGTAATTCCATGTCTTGGCTGTCACTGTTTAAATGCTGAAATTAAAGAGTAGTCCATGAACCATAAAACATCCCAAAATGTCTCGAAATACTTGTGCAGAACTTGTAGAACTTGTGCAGCTGCTTGAGGTTGTGTCTTGTCTTCATGGCACGTAAAAAATACCTACAAGAAACCTCTGGAAAAGGTAACAGTGGAATTTAGGTAGCATGCAGCACCGAGCTCCTGTAATGAAGCTGCTCCCAGGGACTGTACCTCATGACCTTTATTTTATGGAACGCCTAAAGTGAACTCTTATTATGGGATCAGACTTCTCATATTTTATTTTTTTTTTAAAGAAAAATCAGAAGGCACAAAACTTATTTTGGTAGTACAGGCCTCTAAGAAGCAGCAGGGATGTAGTAGTGGCCAAATCTGAGACTCCAGTTCTTAAAAGATGCAAACCTCTCAACTAAATACATTAGGGCAGGGTTGCAAATACAAAATTATATCCTTTTCTTTCTTCCCCACCATGCAACTTGTTTCAGATCTTCTGGAGATGCTGCATGACCACTCATTTGTTGGCTGTGTCAGTCCTCAGTGGGCTCTGGCCCAGTATCAGACAAAACTGTATCTTCTCAACACAACAAAACTCAGGTAAAGAAGCTGTTAAGACTTGTTGGCAGTTGAAATAAGTACCAATTACCAAGCTAATTAGAAGGAAGGAAGGAAATGACAGGAAGAACTACATCGTTTTGTTGTTGCCTATCTGAAAAGTTGAGGCTAAAGATGAAGCAATTGCTTTGGAACGGTGGAAACAAGTCTGGCACGCATGGGAAAAATTGCAGGGAAATCAGTGTAATTAAAATGTCATTAAAATACTCTTTAGAGAGACACGTCTCTCGACTTCCAAGCTCCTGTGCATTTCTTGCAGTGCAGCAGAGGAGTAAAGAGGTTGAAACGTAAGGTGTCTGGGAGGAAACTGATAGCACCTACATGCTTAAGTATGTAACATTTCTGCATCTATGTGGCTGCTGATGCCAGAAACCAAGAAACAGATTTCAGTGTAAACATCTAGGTAGTGCATGTGAATCAAACTGTTTAGTTACAAGCAAGATATTTGTTAATATAACTTGATATGTACATCTCATCTTTCCAAGGTAACAGTTATTTCCGCCTCTTAATTGTGGTAACTTGGAGATACGTGATCTTGACCATGTAACTCATTTTTTTGTACTTCAATTTAGCCAAGAACTCTTCTACCAGATACTTATTTATGACTTTGCCAACTTTGGAGTCTTAAGGTTGTCTGTAAGTATAACTTTGCATTACATCCTATAAAGATTTAAAAAACTTATTTAGAAGCCTGCCCCTTTCAGACAAATGTAACATTTCACAGGTTGTTTTTTTGTCCACTACAAGAATGATGTTCACTTTCTTTTTACAGCAAGAATAGAATGCAGAGAACTGTTAGTGATTTTGTAGCTACTGCTGTTAGTTGTCATCCTTGCTGCCTGTTACTGTCAGTTCTAGATATGCGCCAAGTCTTGCCATTGCTCATTACATTGGAACAGATAATTAATTTGAATACACAATCATGTCGATTAGTAACAACAGGCTTGCCTCCTCCATTTTTAGGAGCCAGCTCCTTTATATGAGCTTTCAATGCTCGCTTTAGAAGATCCTGAAAGTGGCTGGACAGAAGATGACGGCCCAAAAGAAGGGCTCGCGGAATACATCGTGGAGTTTCTGAAAAAGAAGGCTGAAATGCTCAAAGATTATTTTTCTCTTGAAATCGATGAGGTGACTGCTGCTGTTGCTTCTCAGAACTGAACAGTGACCATGGCCGTGTTGGCTTTATGATTGGAGTTGATGACCTTAAAGGTCTCTTCCAGTGAGAATGATTCTAAGATTCTACTTTTTGGTAACAGATAGCCGCAGTGGTTTGCTTGCAGTACTTGCCACCGTTAAGAACTAGCCCTAGTAAGATTTAGGTGGCTTGCCTCTTTCATTAAAAATGCCCAGGACTTATGCTGCCTTAGAATGGTGCTACACAAAGGAGTTTATATATAAATCTTTTAAGTTTATAAATAATTGATATAAATATTTCTACAAATAATTTAGTCTTTGCATTCCTTAACTAGAATGCAGTTCTCTTCTCTACCAGGGTGTGCAGCTTAAACAGCTCTCTAGCCAGGCAGGGCTTACACCATCATCAGTGCTCTCAATGTGTCTTTTTTTTCCTGTGTGGCCTAATGCATCCCTTACTCTATACAAAACTGAACAGTTTTTAATTTTTTTTATTACTATTTTTACTGAAGCAGCAGCATTGCCTTGCAGGAAGGAAACCTTACTGGGTTACCACTTCTTATAGACAACTACATTCCACCGCTGGAAGGACTGCCTATGTTTATCCTTCGCTTGGCCACAGAGGTATATTCTCTTAATGATTTTATTCTTTCAATGAGTCTCTTTCTATTTAGGAAAGAATGAAGCAAATAAAATTCATTCATCAGAAGTCATAAAGGATAGGCTGGAATTGGTTAAATGTAGTGTTACATGCTCCAGACACTTTTGCTGCGGTTACTGATTAGTTGTGCTTTGCCTCTGTGTTGATAACTACTGATTGAATGAAAATATATCTTGATTCGAAAGCCTGAATTTTTACCCTTCTATTGTGTTGTTCTGTATCTTTACCTTATCAGCATAAAAATGGCTGAGACATTATTATGACTTTTCCATATTAAGAATCTCTGTCAAGTCTCTGACTGCTATTAAATTCTGTTAAATTGCTTCTTTTTCTTCTAACAGGTAAACTGGGATGAAGAAAAAGAGTGTTTTGAAAGCCTAAGTAAAGAATTAGCAATGTTCTACTCCATTAGAAAGCAGTATATAATAGATGAAGTCAACTCGACAAACTCTCAGGTAAGAATATGTAACTTAGTCCTATGAACAAACAACTAACACCACACAGGAAGCTTTTTCCAACTACAGACTTCTAGTCCAGTATCTTTCAGTGAAGTGAATCAAGTAGCGTGGTGAGATTCTGAAAGGACGTGGCTTAAATTTTTTGAAGTGTTAAGAGATACATTTTGATCTATTAAGAGAACCTTTAGGGTATTGCAGTATGCTGCTTATTACAACGGCCCACGGCCTTTGAGTTAGGGATGTATTTTTTAGCCTGCTGAGCTATCATATATTTCTATAGAAGAAGGATGCATCTAAATTAAAAATATGGTCTGCTTGGGGCTAAGTATCTGCTTAATCGTTCAGTTGGGCTAGCCCATTCTGCAGGTGACTTCCAGAGCTTAAAATTAACTTGGCTCTATAGAATCAACTTCTCCAATACTAGCACAATTTTACAACCATTGTAATGTTCCATATAAACTTTCTTTAAAAGAGTGTTCTCCTCTAAAAGAAAATTTCAGTTTGCTTGTGCTTTTTTTTTTTCCCGTCTGTATTTCAGAATGAAGATTCTGACTCTGGTTCCACAACATGGAAATGGACTGTGGAACATGTACTTTATAAAGCTTTTAGGACTCATCTTTTACCTCCCAAACACTTCACGGAAGATGGAAACATTTTGCAGCTTGCTAACCTGCCTGACCTGTATAAAGTTTTTGAGAGATGTTGAGCAAGTAGCTCTTGGACTGATGCAATTTGTGCTGCATTCTGTTTTACTTACTTAATAATAAAACTGAAATTTTTGATGGAGGAAAGAAAAAAACCCAAGGATTTAATATCATGAACACATGACAGCAAACAATCTATTTTCCTTTTGTTGATGCAAGAATATAGAGAGTTCTCTGCTTATGCTTTGAGTCTCACTATCAAGCAAGGTGCTAATTGAGTACAACTTCTACTGAAGAAAATAAACTGGCTTAAGTAATTGTGGGAGATGGAGCTTAACATAACTGAGAAGTGAGTACTGTGACTTCTTGAAAGCAGTATAGGTTATTCACCTCCTTTTGATTTAAGGTCTGGTGTGTGACAGTACCTGCAATGTGAACTTACATGCAAAGTGCTTAAAATTACCTGATAGTGCAGGAGCGGGTCTCAAAATATTCCAGATCCCTTGCTGAAATGAGGCAGATCCCTTTTAAGCAAGGAGTCTGAAAAGGGAATCCTCTGACAGAGAACACTGCGGTAGCAGAGCAGGGATGTGCGCTCTCAACACCAGGTAACAGATGCCAGCTCCTCATCACACCCCACGCAAAACAATCCAGAAAATCATAAGTATATTTTATGTTCATTTTCTCCCCCCTTTTTGGTATGTAGTGGAAACCTGATTACACAGTGCCAAAAATAAAATGAAAAATTTTATATTTGGCGAAATAAAAAAAGCGGAAAGATTTTATTTTTTAAAAAAAAAATCTCTATATAATTCAGAGCTTTAAGCAATCTGATACAGGTTAACTGTCTTCCTAAATGGAAAAAAACAGGAAACTTTTCTTGCAAAATGTATTTTCAAGTTAAGATTGCAATAAATCATCAATCAAAGCATTCCTAAGCCTGCCATGGATTACAAAATGACAACCAGCTACAGGTAGTAGCAGCTTGGCCAACAGCTTGCTGGTCTTTTTTTTTTTTTTTTTCCTTCATTCAGATCTGCTTCTTGAAACAGAATTCATTTCAAATCTCATTTTCAAGCCCAATAATTAAACCCAACATGTTAAACATGTTTGCTGTATTTATAAGAGTTAACAGATTCAGCTTTTTCCAAACTAGAAAACATCAGGGTGAGCTGCTTTCTTGCCTGCTTGTTGAACTGCTCAAATCAACTCAATTACTCATGGGAAAACAAAGTTATTTCAAAAAACTCCTTTTGTTATCACATTTACAACAAAGAAATGATGTTCCACTCCCACCGCATCGCTACAGGCAGCTGAACAGCAATATAACACGTTTTGAACAGAATCTACGTAAACTGGAATCCTTGTTACCCCAGAAGAAAAAAGAAAGGAGCAGTACATGTGGATTTTCAGTTGATAAAGAAACAATATCATAACGCGTTACCCACGTTTCAACAGTTTTATTTTAGAAAGTGAACATAGCCATTAAAAAAAAAATGCACAGAGTTAAAAAAAAAAGTCAACGTAAAACTAATGACAAATTTGCAAGAACATAAAATAATTTTACTTAGTGAGTCCCATCATTAAATATACTTCCACAATAGAGAAGCTTTACTTCATTGTATTACCGGTCTCTTGATTAAGTACACAAGACAACACTTTCCAGTAATTACCTAGTCATTAGAAGATCAACTTCAGGAATCACTGAATAATAAAATACATCATGGACAAGTATTTTCATACCATCTGGGAGGGCAACCTAATATACATATGTCAACAGAGTACAGCTTTGTGAGGTATTGCAGTACACGGGAACCGTTCCCTTTGCTTTCTGATGAATAAATTCTCCCGTCAGCAGCTCCACCAGTGAGTCCGCCACAGACTGTCACCAGTTTCCAAACCCCAGTAAGTTCCTTCAGAGACTTTCTTTCTGTAACAGATGACATGTATCAGGATGAATGAAGATGCAAGTCAAGAAAATAGATACTGAAAAGGAACATCTACTCTTGTAGGTGAGCACTAGAAGAACATCAACGCAGAAGCCTCAGCTGCTGGAGAACATTTAATACCTCCCCTAGCTTGAGCTTTGTAAGGCGAGTTCATTTGTCCTAGCCTTAAACTAAAAGTAAAAAGTCTCTCCTGGCCATCTCCAAAGAAGCATCTCTCCCTGCTTCCAAAAAAAAGGAGCTTTGACACAATCTGGTTCACGACTATCCCTTCCAGGACAGGCAACAAATAAATGCTGGAAATGTTCCATCCTGAGCCTGAAGCTTTTTACACCCTACTCCAGAACAGCGTGCTCAGACCCCAGCCCTGGGCTAACAAGAACCCCAGCCACACGCGGAGGACCCCAACTGCATGCTCACAAAAGTCCGGCAGGATTTCCTTCTTGAAGGCTGCTAAGACAGACAGAGTTCAAAAACTCTTTAAGAGTTAGCCCACCATTCCAATTATCTGGGAAGGAACTAAGAAGAAAAAAAAATTTTAGGAATGCTGAGGTTCTATGCAAAGGAATTTACCTGCTTTTTCATCTTTGCTATACAACTTGTTTTTCACTGTCTTGTTTTTCTTCGGAGTCTTCATCAGATCCTGGAAAGGAAGCCAAGAGTGTTATTAGATCAGTTGGGAGAAGATGAATAAAATAAAAAGAAGCAGACCACCACTGCTAATGACTTATCAAAAGGCAATTCAAAGCAACTATTTCCCATAAAAATACTTCCTTTTTATTTTAGATTTCTTATCTTTCTGGATGTTTGATGTTAAAAGTTGGGGGGTTTTAGCAGTTACCAAACCCCAGCACTGTGATCATTCTTGAAATACCTGCCCTGTCAGCGGCTTCAGTTAGGAAGTGCCTCAAGTTTTCACAACAACATACTTGGGACAATCAACTCAAAGCAGCCAAAAAAAGTGCTTTACAGTCTGAGGAAATGTTCAGCCCATGCATTTCACCATAAGTATCTTGGGCAGTTTAAAAAATAAAGTGAGTAAAGAACTGTCTTTGATAAAACATCTGACACTCAAGATGAAGGTCAACCCACAGGAAGTTGTGGATGGAAAAGGGTAATTGCAGTGGGCACGCGCATCTTCAATTGAGATGTAACAAGACAAATACGCTGAAAATCCCAGCAGAGCCTGCTTGAAACGTCACCTCCTGACAGTAAAGATTTGTTTACAGACACGTTGCCATGTAATCAGAGGGTTTTATCCCCCTATGCATAACGCTGGGGAATAATTTATCTCTATTTTTCCAAACAATATGTAAGGCAAATTGACCAAAAATTGCTCTCTTAGAACTGTCCATAGTTTGTCTTATCTGAAAAAAACGTAGAATTTTGAAGAAAAATTTTTTAACCGTGATCTATTTTTAGTGTACATCATTTAACAGTTCCAGAACACTTTGTGAGCTACCAATATGCATGGTTTATTTCAAATATATTTGACTCTTTCTTTTGCACCCCACACCCACAAAAGGCACTTTTGTGGGCCTCTCACACCATATATTCTAGTGCCCAAAAAAATCCCAGGCTGACTCCAGTGTAGTAGTTCCAACCGTTATTCCTCAAGATTAAGACTCAGCTCTATAATACATTTTCACTTTGAACCGTTATGCTCGATTTTGTCCCAACGCTTTGGCATCCCTAGATGGAGCTCTAACTCATCGTGCCAAGTTGTTCAGCGGCCAGAGAGTCAGCCACTAAACTGAAAAATGTCACTAACATGCATAACCATAATGCAAGACTGACAAACATATCTTTAGCAATTAGCAGGTATTAATATTTTAAACATACTGCACAGTACAGTACAACTCTACAGTTTAAGGTAAAAAGACCAGGGTTCATGCTGCATCCTGAAGTAACTCAAATCCACTCAACCCGTAAAGAAAGGACTAATTTCCGTAAAATGCCTGTAAACACATTCTTAGATCTTGCAGTATTTGTATTTATTGTTTTGGCTTACTCGGTTCATACCTCTACTAGAACAAAACACATGATACGCCCAGTTAAGATGTTTAATATCCCCACACAGCCAGCCTTTTTATACAGAGAAGGCTTTTTCTTTTTGCTATGAGAAAGGAAAAGAGCCTCTGATTGAAATTTCAAGTCTGCTTTACAGCAGTTTCAGGTTCACTGTCTATCCTAAAACACTGTAAAGCTCCAAGTTTAGGCTGGATTAAATAGCACAAAAATTACGTGAACAGAGTTACCCGCTACAGATTCAGGAGGAGAATAGAATTGCCCATCAGAGAGGGCTCCTGGGTGAAGAAGAGCTGCTCGTTCAGAAGCATCCTGTGCTATCAAAAATCCTAAAAGAAAAGAAACAAAAAACCCAAATCCTCAGTGCTATCTCATAGCATGTTTGAGTGTTGATGAAGAATTTTAGGCTGATATATTACATTAACATTCCTAACGATTTATATGTTGTACTTTATTAGCCATCCTAAAAGATACAAATAAATCTCTCAGAGAAAAAGCAAACTGTCAATGCATCATTCATGTCTTCTGTTATTAACATTAACCTCAAGCAGCTAAGGAGACTTAAGCAGCTAAGGAGAACTAAAGAACCCTTCCTTCTACTATGTGCAACTGCACAATTAGGGTGCCACACATAAATCAGCATCCACTGGCTAACTAAAACTGTGAAGTATATTTTTAATGATCAGTCAACTGTCAAACGTAACCAAATAAATGATTTTCTTACTTTGCCATTGTAAGACTCCTTACTAATGTTTTCACCTACTGAGTAATTCCAACCTTGAACTCCTCTTCACTCAATTTAATCTCAAATCAGGGAAATTACTTGGAAATTACATAGGGTAATTCTGGTGTGTTTAACACAGGACAAAAACCAAAAGGGTTGGGAGAGAAGCTAATTCAGCTCATCCTTATTGCTATCAGCCAAGTCTTCTTATAATAATAGGGCAAATACAGAAGCTATTATGTGGATGTAAGGCTACTGAACCTCTCTCCTTTATTTCTTCTGCCACATGAAGACAGATATGGGGCAAAAAAAACCACAACAAAAAAATCTCTTTATATTTTACTGAATGAGGAGAGGTATCTGAGGTTGCCAGTAGTTATTTAAAAAAAAACACAAACAATTCTTTTCAACTGGGACTACTATTTCTACATACCGTTTTATCT